CCGCGACTACCAGCAGTACCCCGAACAGCAGCAGTACACCCCTTCCGCTGCCGCCGCCGCCTCCGCCGTGGTCATCGTCCAGGAGAATTATCCAATGAGTCCGCAAAGCTACGACAGCAGCAGCGGCAGCATGAGCCCCGAGTCCGAGATGGACAACGGCGGCGGTAGGATCGACGATGTGGATGTTGCCCAGTCATATGGAGGCCATCAGTGCACGTACGCAGGCCAAAGCCAAAGTCAGAACCAGAGTCAAAGCCAGCCGGTCTTGCATCAACAGTACACCCAGCAGCAGCAGCAGCAGCAGCAGCATCATCAACACCAGCAACAGCTAGAACAGCATCACCGACAGCGTCAGTCCTGGAATACCCAGGTGCCGCGGAGCATGGCCTCGCCCTGGGACCAGGCTGCCCTCCCCAGCCCTCCCGCGGATCTGGGCGGAGACTCGTTCTTCCAGATGTCCGGGTCGGCGGAGGCCTTGTCTGTGCAGGGGCATCATCGTCCGCAGGATTATTCTTCTGTGGTTCATCCCGAGCAGTATCGCCAGACACAGCAGCAGCAGCAGCACTATCATCGACAGCAGCAGGGTGCGGATCCTCGGATGATGCCAAGTCGGCTTCTGGCTCTGGCTCCGCAACGGCCGGTGAGACCGGAGCGACGGGAGTCTGTTTCGTACCACAATGCTTTACATTGCGGATTCCATCGTTCAGGGCTATAGGGGTAGGAAGAACGCTGCCCCGGGCTTGGCCTTCCCCCTTTCCCTCCCCCCTCTCCTTTGGTACCCCCTCTCTCTTGGCTTATATTTCCTAGGGCTTGGATTGTTTTGGATTGTTTTGTGATGTTTCCTTTCCTATCCGTAAGAGAAAACGAAGAAAGATGGAAACTTGGTGGTTTGGCTACTCTGTTTGGTTTGGGCAAAGGTATCTATCCCATATGCAATATCACACTTTCCTTCATCTCTCGAAACAAAAAAGACTCGGCGAGCTGGAGGGAGGGAGGGAGGCTTCTGAAAGCTGGTTCTTTGATGGAAATAGGGGTCGAATTTTGCAGTTTTGATGGACCACAGGACAACTAAAACTTGGCAAAAACACACCTTTTCCCCCTTCCCCTTAGCCCTTGCACTTTGACTTTCACTTGATGTTTCTTTCTCTCTTTTGGGATTCAAGTACTTTAGTTGTAGAATGTAGTTGTACTGTGTTTTTCGTCTGTCGGTTTGATGCTTTTACTCGTTTCGTTGGGTACCAATGTGATAGAATACAGAAAACGAAACATGAAGACCTTTTGAATCCCCATTTTGGATTTTCTGAATAATGGCATACTTCCTCCATTCAACCATTCGCCAATAATTGATTCCCGAGTAATCCCGACCCCATCTTAATCATCCACATCTACATGAAATCATCCTCGCTAAAGGGCTCACTGCTATGGTTGGACCTCAAATTCATCTTGGCCGCGCCCTCTGCTAACCCATACGGATCATGAACATGCTGCTTCCCACCACCGCCACCCTCCTCCCCATCACCAGCAGGCGCCGAGTTAGACCGCACCTGCACCTTAACCTCCCCCTGAATCCCATCGACACGAATAGTCGAAACAGTCGTCCCACCAGGCGGCGGGCGCAAATTCGGCGCGGGTGCGAGGTTGACGAGCTCGCGGAAGAAGTTGTTTGCGGCCTCGCAACCGTCGAGGAGCCATTTGAGGCATATCGTGACGCGCTCTTTGGCAAAGGGGTTGTGGTCGTCGTAAGCGCAGCAGTTTAGAAGGGGTACGATGCCGTTGTGGTTCACCATTTGGGTTTGTACGTCTGGGTTTCCGGGGGTGGAGTGGCCGGGCGGTGGTTGGAGGAGGGTGGCGAGGATGGTGAAGATTTGGCCTTTGATGCCGGACCAGGGGTATTTATGGGCTGGGTCGGAGAGGGAGGGGGGTGGAGGGGAGGGTGGAAGTGAGTCGTTTGTTGAGTAGGGGCGTTCTATGATGGGAGTTGAGCCGCCGCCGGAGCCGGAGCCGGAGCCGGGTTGCTGCGAGGAGGAGTGGGATTGTTGGTGGTCCGAGGGGGATGCTGCTGCCGCAGCGGGAGGTCTGTTGCGGGAGGGAACGGCGTCGACGAGGGGTTTCTTGGGGACGCCGGCTTCGAGGCCGTTGAGGAGGGTGATGAGGTCGTAGACGGCCTCCCACTCGATGAGCTTCTTCCTCGACTCGGCAATCTCGGAGGCAGTCGTCAGAAAATCGAGGTACTGCGCCAGGCCGTCCTTGGCACGCTCCATGTCCCATGTGTCGACGGGGAACTCGGCCGGGTCGACGTTGTCCTCGCGGATCTGGGCCTGGAGGTGCATGAGGGCGACACATTCGGGCACGATGCGGCTGCGAAAGAAGCTGAAGAAGAACATGACGAGCTTGACGTCGCGCTCCTGATCCTTTTTGTCTTGTGGGGGGTTGCTAATGCGGCTGCGGAAGATGTGGTTGACGAGGCGAAGGAGGACGGTCTGGGCCGGGGATATGATGTCCTTTGGGATGCGGAGGGAATTCCAGGCGTAGGGGACAAGGGCCGAGTGGTGGAGGGCCTCGATGAGCTGCGAGGTAATTTGGAAGATGAGCGACTGCTCGTCCTTTTCCCAGACAGCGATGAAGACGAGCATCTCGCGGAGGAGGGACTTGCCGCAGTCGAGGGCTAGGAACATGCGGCAGCGCGTCTTTTGGAGGTTCTCGCCTGCGCGGGTGAGGCCCGTGCCGGCGGAGTCGAGGATGCAGGACTTGACTATCATGTGGAGGGCCTCGATCTGCTTCGGGTCGAGGATGTTGGGGATCTCGGTCAGGAGGCCCGTCAGTGGGCCCTCGCCGTACGACTCGTCGTCGTCGATATCCTCGTCGTCCATCATGTCGTCGTAACCCTCGGCGTACTCCTCCGCGGAGCCCTCTTCCGGCCCGAGGTCCTGTTCGGACTCGTCGACCTCGACGACCTCGTGCTCCTCAGTGCGCATGACGGGCGTGTATCGGTTGAGAAGGTTGCTCTTGCAGTGCTCCGTCCTTGTCTTTGCAAACTCGACGTTGGGCATGGCGACCGCCCAGCCGTCGTAGTTTACGTCGCGCGCGCGCATCCACCAGGTGTCGATTTCGCGGGATACGCGGCAGTAGGCGCGGTCCTGCTCGAACTTGTCCTCGATGTCGGGGTCCCATCTCGGGTTGACCTTTTCGCCCTCCTCGTAGTTGTCGGCGCGGACCTTGACCTGGCCCTCGGGGAACCAGTTCCACGCCAGGGGCGCGATAGGTGCGAGGACGCCCGGGGGGTTGTGCGACTTGTTCTGGGAGTAGTCTGTGAGGAGCCTGCGGGCGGTCTCGCACATTCGCGAGTTACGCTCCAGCCAGTGCTGGATCTCCGTTCTGGCAATGTCGACGCGGAAGCCGGAGCCGTCGCCCATACCCTCTTGCGGGTCGTCGAGCTGCGCGTCCTCGTCAAAGAGGACGTCGTACCAGAACGACATCTTGTTGCGGTCGTTCTTGGCGGTCCAGTTGTGGGCTTGTTGAAGGGATGTGACCAGGAGCTTTTTGTCTGTGAAACGTCAGCGGCGTACTCGTCCGGGAGGGCTATGAGGACTTACACATGTCGGTGATCTCATTCAGCTTGGCCCTTGAAGACTCGTCCAAGATCTCGCCATCGTAGCCCTTGCTCGTGACGTTCACACAGAGTATGATGGTCTGATAAACCATCTGGTCAAAGTGAACCGCGGCGCAAATGTCCTGGGGCACCTCTGGTTCCGACGTCACCAGCAGGTTTCTCGCAATGTGCATGAGCTTGTTTAAGATAGAGAGATCGTCCTTGAGACTGTGGTGGTTCTTCACAATGAGAGCAGTACTCTCCTGAGGGGTGACACCCTTCTCGGGATCGTTGAGGCTCGACAGCGGGCCCACTGAGCGCGTGGTGAGACTGGGGATGGCGGCGCCAAAGATCTTGGTCAACCAAATCCATATCTCGACGTTTCTTGAAAGCGTTTCCCTGGTTCTTGTTAGGAAAATGAGATGGTACGAAACTACAATAAGACACGCGTTGAGGGTACCTACCTAACGTGCTTGAAGGTGTGAGTCTTCTCGAGGGTTTTGGCAATCATTGATGAGACCCGCGCGGCGGTTTGAGGGCCCATGGGTGGGATGGTGTAGTGGCCCTCGAGGCAAATGAGGGCGGCTGAGAAGCATCGTTCTTCGATGGTCTCATAGCCCGGGGTGCCATCTTCGAGGTCAAGGTCCGGCAGAGATGGCGGCGGTGTGGCCGCCATGGTGTTGTAGGTTGATGAATAATGAAGAGCAAGTATGACGTTGAAGATCGGGCATTCAAACTTGAAGCATAGAGGTAAAGACCGGTGAGGCTCTGCGCCTGCCGAGGGGGTATCCGCTAGTAATGAGTGGGAAAGAAGACCGTGGGCGAAAAATATTGGAAATGCATGCACAGTTTAGAATATTCTCATGAAGATTTCAGAGAAGGAGTACCTCGAAAGGTGGCGGCGCCGGGATGTTGGATTGTCACTATGGAAAATTTCCGCCGTCCGCACCGAAATGTACCTCTACACTACAAATTGGTAAGCAGATACACACAGACCAGCTGCCATTTTGAGATATTCCACCATCACGAAATGCTCTTGTGATCATTAACTACGTGCATTGAGGATTCACTCTAGAACTCATCTAAGAGTCCTGCACGTTAATCATACTCTAGAAGGGTTTGGAACCGTAGAAGTCTAGATTTGACATTAAAGGCATCATGTCTTAATCATCCCGTTTTATGAGTCGGGATACAACTGCGGTTCTGGGCTGAGAGCCCTGTGGAATTCCGGGCTGAGGTACCCAAGACCCCTCCATCGAGCCCCCTAAATCGGCCAATGGCAAGGGTGACAGCCACCGTAGACCCCTCTATCGGCCGTGTGCAACTTGGCCCCCGACGTCCGCCCCTCGGCGGGGTAATTTCGCTGCGGTGTCTGCTCTTCGACGCGAATTTGGGCCACTTGTGCGACGAGCCACGGCTTGACTCACTCCGAATACCATCGTCTCACGACCCTCGCGATACCTACTTCGACGCCGTGAAGCCTTCACAACCTCGACTCCCCGAACATCGTTGCATTCTTACTTCGATCCCACACTTTACGAAACTTGTAGCATACTCAAGATGGCGGAAGGTACAAATGCGCAGGAGAGGTTCGCCCTCATCAACGAGAACTTGGCCGAGATCATGAACCCCGAGATCATCGAGAAGATCCTGGCCGAGGGACGCAACCCGAAGATCTACTGGGGTAAGAAACACTTCAATTACACTGCTGGTACTCTTCGTCGGCGCATTGGCTGACCATTGCCTTCTTTCGTGTTGCAGGAACCGCGACAACGGGCAGACCTCACTGTGGTTACTTCGTCCCGGCCATCAAGCTGGCGCAGTTCCTCGCTGCCGGCTGCGAAATGACCGTTCTTCTCGCCGATATTCACGGTTTCCTCGACAACCTCAAGGCCCCCATCGAGCTCGTCGAGCAGCGCGCCAAGTTCTACAAGTTCGCCATCACAAACATCCTCAACGCTGTCGGCGTCTCCACGGAGAAGCTCAAGTTCGTCCTCGGCAGCTCCTACCAGAAGAGCCCCGAGTACGTCATGGATGTCTACAAGATGAGCTCGCTCATTAGCGAGAGAGATGCGAAGAAGGCTGGCGCCGAGGTCGTGAAGCAGTCTGACGTGAGGATACCTGCAAACTTTGGGTGTTTGGAGTTTGGCTGACAATGGTGACAGAACGCCCCCATGAGTGGTCTGCTGTACCCCGTACTACAGGTCTGCGACGAGGAGCACCTTGGTGTCGATGCTCAGTTCGGAGGTATATCTCAACTCCCAATAGCTTGAATGAGCTCTCAGGCTAACTTTTCGCAGGCATGGACCAAAGAAAGCTGTTCGCCGCTGCTACTGAATGGTTGCCCAAGGTCGGATACAAAGTGCGCGCGCATCTGTTGAACCCCATGGTTCCTGGTCTGAACGGTGGCAAGATGAGCGCAAGTGATCCTGGTAAGATTGTTGCTGCTGAGCTTCTTGACCAAATGCTAAGCCAAGCTCTACAGACAGCAAGATCGACCTTCTTGATGCTCCCGAGGTTGTCCAGAAGAAGCTCCGCAAGGCTGAGTGTGTGCCCAAGGTTGCTGAGGGCAACGGTGTCCTGTCTTTCGTCGAGTACGTCCTGCTGCCCGCCGCAGCGCTGAAGGGCAAGAAGGAGTTCCGTGTCGAGCGTGAGCGCGACGGCCTCGAGACCCTGGTTTACACCGAGATTACAAAAATGCACGAGGACTACAAGAACGACGTGGTAAGTAGCATACGACAAGAGGCGCGATATTGGAAACAAGCTGACACTGTGTTTAGTTGACGCCCCAGCTGCTCAAGCCCGCAGTGACAAAGGCCCTGAACGAGCTCCTGGCACCCATCCAGCAGGCTTTCCAGGCCTCCGAGGAGTGGAAGCAGGTCACGGAGAGGGCCTACCCCCCGGTCGAGGACGACAAGAAGAAGAAGAAGAAGCAGCCCAAGGACAAGGGCTCCCGCTACCCCGGCGGCGGCAAGGGCCCCGCCGCGCAGGACGGCGCTGCCAAGGAGGCGGAGCTGCCGGTGCGCCCGGCCGAGGGCCAGTGATTATTTGTTTCTTGCATAAGAAAGCGTTTTTTATCTGTACGTGCTACTACGGTATGGGTCGGAGTTCGGATGAAGACCAGCAAAAAAGAAAGTCTAGAGAGAGACAGCTAGATACCTCAGATGAAAAGAGCATCTAAAAGAGAGACATTCCATGACCCTCTGCTCCTCCCCCGTTGCCCCTGCCCCTTATCAACAGCCTTGTGTCCATACCTTCTCAACAACGGGCCTGATGGCTGAGAGGTAGAGGGACTTGATTCCTTGACTAAATCATGAAGTCTCTGGTACGTATTAAGGTTCCGATCATCCAAATCCTCGATGGTCAGGTCCGTTCTTATCTTTTTTTTACTTGTTCCCTTTATCAAGTCATTCAGGGGCGTCTGTGTTTCTCGTCCCTCGAGGGCCATGACTGGACTAGGCGGTCATCTTCCCAGCCATCAGTGGCCTGGTGACGAAGTACACCTTACATACACCAAGTGTAATCGAGAAGCAACGACATCGCGCCGCGTTCTACAACACGTGGTGCGGACAATGAGAATATGCGGTGGGGTGTTTACAAAGCGGGATGCCCGGGACGACGCAATGGCGGGGCACTGAAGAAACGGCAGCACTCAGGACGGTGGATGGCGGGGTAAATTTCGGCGGGGTCGAAAAAAGATGTCAGACTCCGACCGCATAGCAAACTTACCCAAGCTTTTGCGCCGATCTACACCTCTAGATATTTTCTTTACTGCAGCTTTTTTGTTTTCTTTTCCCTGAGTTACCTGAGATACCCTCCATTTTCCCACGACCAACCGGTAGACACGACACAATGGCCGACCTCCCTACCACCTTTGACCGTAAGCTTCACCCGCGCTCCCCTCCTCCCGATCCAGCCCAATGCCCAAAACCACAAGTCAAGAACGCAACACCTCTAGACCTGACTGACATCTCGCCTCACCCTCCAGGTCCCGTCCACATCGCCGTCATCGGCGGCACCGGCCTCGGCAAGCTCGAAGGCTACACCCCCGTCGCCCAGCTCACACCCACGACCCCCTGGGGCGCGCCCTCCTCCCCCATCAGCATCCTCGAGCACAACGGCGTCCCCATCGCCTTCCTCGCCCGCCACGGCCTGCACCACCAGTTCGCGCCCCACGAGGTGCCCGCCCGCGCCAACATCGCCGCCCTGCGCTCCATCGGCGTCCGCTGCGTCATCGCCTTCTCCGCCGTCGGCTCCCTGCGCGAGGAGATCAAGCCCATGGACTTTGTCGTGCCCGATCAGGTGATCGACCGCACCAAGGGCGTGCGCCCTTTTACGTTCTTCGAGGGCGGTGTCGTGGGACACGTTGGGTTCGCGGATCCGTTTGATAAGGGGCTTGCGGAGGTTGTCAAGAGGTGCGCGGCGCATATGCAGGGCGAGGGCGTCGTTTTGCACGATAAGGGCACTATTATCTGCATGGGTGAGTTTTCCCTCTCTACTCCCTTCTCTACTCCCTGCTCATTCTACATAACAAAGTTCGAAGGAAGAAGCAAAATATGCTAACGAAATTCCAAAACAGAGGGCCCCCAATTCTCAACCCGCGCCGAATCGCACATGTACCGCTCCTGGGGCGGCAGCGTCATCAACATGTCGGCCCTCCCCGAGGCCAAACTCGCCCGCGAGGCCGAGATGGCCTACCAGATGATCTGCATGGCGACCGACTACGACTGCTGGCACTCGTTTGACGACGTCGACGTCGCCATGGTCATGAAGTACATGGCCGCCAACAGCGAAAACGCCAAGCGCCTCGTCGGCGGCGTCCTCGACGAGCTGTCCAAGCAGGAGAGCGGTGACCTCGTCCTCGCCAAGCAGTGGGAGGGCGCCTCCCAGGGCGCCGTCAAGTTCATGACCAAACCCGAGGGCCGAAGCCCCGAGGCTATGAAGAGTGTCGAGTTCTTGTTCCCTGGGTTCTGGAACTGAGGGGTCGTATACTGCTTCACCAGTATTGTTTGATTTTCAAGTTATTTCAAAAAAGAGGGACTTAGGTACTAGGCACGATTAAGTATGACTATACGTGCAGGAATGTGAGCGTGAGCGTGAATAGAAGCAACGGTGAAAATGGCGTGGATAGAGAGAATTTGCCCGGCATCAACTGTTCAGGCTGGTAGCGAACGTAATCGCCAGGATAGAATACTGTGCAAAATGAAAAGTACGATACCAATGACGTCGACGCTGTGGCCAATGATTTTTGGTCTCATGCAATCTCCTCTGTGCTACCATTGTTCCTATCGCATGGTCCAACGCCTCGAAACGCCGGTTCTAAACCCTTCAAAGCCAATAAAGAAGTCTACCCTACAAAGCAATCTCGCCGTGTACCAAATCACATCAAAAGGTATAATGCCCGGACGCCCTTCTCCGCCGCCGCGATGTGCCAAGGACGTATGTCCGTCCCCCTATCTACAATTCCCCTTGCACGAGCTAGGGTTCCAAGACCCCTGAAGTAGGTGAGCATCTCCCGCATGAGAGGCTCGTACATGCGCGGGTTGTTATCCGCATGCACAATGTTGACCTCCAAGACGACAGGCGGGTCTTCGAGCTTTGTTCCTCCGCGTTTGACGAGGTAGCCGCTGATGAGGGCCGGGTTCAGCTCGCCCAACGAAGAAGAGTTGCTCAGTCGATGCGCTAGTACGGCGCCCCAGGTTTGGTCTGTCACGTCGAGGAGAATGGCATCTCCCTCGGCCGGGTCGGCATTACCGTCGCCAGGTGTTCCGCCCGGAGTTGCGGAGCTTGTTGTGTTTTCTTTCATGGGCGTTACCGGAGTGCCACTCTGCTCTGGCGACACTATCGATGCTTGAGGAGTGGACACGGGCGTCGTATAGAAGGCCGAGGATGTCGTTGCCGGGACCTTGATGGCCGGCGGAACCAACTGCATGGATGGGTTGGTATCCACCGAGATCAAAGTCAGGCTGACCGTTGCTACCGACTCCGTTTGAGCTAGACCCTGCCAGAATCCAATCTCCTGTGCGTCCATGAATCCGCACTTGGAGATGATGACTCGCCAGTGGACTTTCCACTTAGAAATCAAGTCATGAGTGGTCTCCCATATCTCGTGGCAGACGTCATTGAGCGATGTAGACAGCGCCTTGCCCTTACGGCCAAGGTTGTAAGATGCCGTCATCTGTTGGCATCCCCTATTGTCAGTCCACGCCGCGGTAATCCATCTCTCATCGATGCTCTGAGCGTAAGCGATGTGAATGCAAGTGTTCTCATGCATCAGAGACGATGAAGATGGATTAGAAAGCTTGAAGTCGATGCCTCTAGGTAGCGACTGCTCGAGCATAATGGCCGGTGACGGCATCGGTCCGCCAAACAGTGTACAGCGGTCATACGTTTCTATCGCCAACTTGATCGCATCGCTGGGGGTCGGTTCTACTATTCCCGTAGAAGAAGTCAGAAAGTCCAGGGGCACAAGTTGCAAGACCAGTTCGTTGACCGGGGTCTGCCGCCTGTCCGTCAGAGCCCTTTTGTGCATCTCGAAGAGTTGTTGAAAAGCAGTGCAAGCCTCGACGATGGACCCAGGATGGTCTGGAGGATATACAAAGTATATCACATAATTCTTTTCCGAGGCGTTGGCCGATATCAGCCCCTGGTTGAGTGCCTCCATGCGGTCACCCAGGCCGGCCACTATGTGAGGACTGACAGTTCCTGGAGAAGTGGCGATTTTGTCCACTTCGTAGGGTAGCAGCCCATCAGTCACCTTAGAACTGGTCGCAAGGCGTTCGAAGGAGCCCAACTTGAGGAGCTCGTAAACGTTTCGCATGCGGTCCAAAAAGGCGGCGGCGACATCCGACATTCCATCCCAGTGAGGGAAGACACAAACAACGTTAACGTCCTTTGTGCCTTGAGCAGGACCCAACCCCAAGCTTTCCCAAAACTGAACACTCGCTGGCAAGACCGACAGTCTAGCTTCTGCACGTCGAAGTTCCATGTGCGGAGCTGGGATCTGAAAGAGGTTATTCGGCTTCGGCGGCTCTGCATTATTATCTCGCGGATTGACCGGCCTCGGATGGAGTCTATTGGGTGGTCCAAGCAAAGGAACATCAGGGATCTCGACCACACCTTTGAAGTTGCATGTGTTGAACTCCCCCAGACAAGCAGGAATTACCTCTCGCAAAGCTTGTAAAGCGGTTCGACCTAGCGAGGATAATTGGCGCCGGGTTTCCGGTATGATTGTCGTATGCAGCGTATTCGCATGCGCATCGCGTATTCTCAAGTTCCCAGTTACCGCTTGCTCAGTGACAATCTGAGCGATGGTGATGGTATCTTCATCCGGGAGTGAAAGATGAATAGGTAATGACTCTGCATCTTCAAAATATCTCGTGATCAGCATCTCTGAAGCTTCGGCCTTGGCTAGCTTTGGGAGATCCAAAGCTAATGTCGGATCGGAATCCTCGACAGACTCAATGTCTCTCAGAGAAGTGACGTGAGACACAACGTCGTCATCCAAGTTCAGTCTTCGAATGCTTGACTTAAAGGGCGATGTCGGCTCATCTTCTGATGTGCTCGAGTCGTCTTGGTCTGATACTAGGCTGATGTCATCGGCGTCAGATGCAAGGTCGTCGCCTTTCCCGGGGCTTGCAATGAGGGAACTGTTTTCGAGATTGCCCGTGATAGTTCTTATCAGGGCATTCGTGTGTTCTGGTTGTTTCAGTGGCTTCCTTCCCTTGCCGTGTCGTCGTAGGTAGTCGGTCGTAGGCGGCCCCTGATGGAGAGACTGGTTGTTGGTTTCTTGCGGTAGGCCTTGGAGCGTTGGCTTGCAATCAAATCGGCCCCCTTGCTCGTACTTCTTGTTAACAAGAGGCAAGACTGGATCGAAGTCCACGCTGTCGAAAATGCTGCCTTTCCGCGCAGGGGTTGCAGAGGCAACAGAGCGGATATCTGCTAGAGAAGCCCGAACTCTTTTGTAGACAATATCCGGGTCGAAAGGACTTGACTCTCTCTTAATACCGCCAGCCCTATCTGTGTTGGATCGCTGTTTTCCCTCGTCCATCAGTGTGCTCCGCGCATGCTTCAGCTCCGGTTTGGTGAATACTGGAGGACTTGGTTCGGGCTTGGTATCCTCTACTGGAGGCATCATCAGTTTTGCCGGCTCGGGCATAGAGACTGGGAGGACAGCAGGCATCGATGGCCCGTCAGGCATGCCCAAGTCAGGTAATCCAGATA